GCTGATGGTGTTCAAATGGTGCTCCAGATGTTTTCAGATTGCACCCAAGGCGCCTATTACTATTGGTACTATCTTTGCTTTCTTTTGCTACAGTCATTCTACTTCTATTTGTGGATTTTTGTATTTTGTGATTTTCTCCAGTTTTTTCTCTTCTATTCTGCTGTCTCCAGGTACTGCAATGTCCACTATCCAGACTTTTTTGTCTTTCTTATCAACAGTTGTTAAATCTGGGGTGTTGTGTGGCAGGTACTTGTCTGTCTGAATTCTAAAGTCTCAGAGCACTTCTTCATTTTCTATTACTTTGTCTATTTTGTGGTCCCACTAGTTCTTGCTTGCATAGGTCCATCAACTACTTATGGAAACTCAGAAGCTTATCCCAACAAAATATGCTTATTCTTTTACCTACTACAATCATCAATGGACCTTCTCTAGAACTCACATTAATGTTCTTCCCTTGGCAATCTTGGAGGGCAGAGTCAGGAAAACTTCATTATCTCAAAAATTATGCTTATTTCAGGCAAAATTCAATCTATGGAACATATTTGTTGTGCATTTTATTCCAATCTGAGGCAGTCAGCTTATTTCTGTCTTAAAGCCAAAGCAGGGTAAGAGAGTCTCATTCTGCACCATTAGCTACTAAGATGATATATGACATGGTGTGCAGGACTAGAAGAAAAGAAATCAGGTGAGCTGCCCCATCAGCAACTCTAGGAGCAGGGGACGGACATTCGCAAGGTAGCTACATAGGCCTGCTCTCTCACATTCATAATCACATTCATTCTTACATAATACTGAACCATCAGTCCGGTTACCAAGAATGGCTGTTGGATTTGCTATAAACTGTCTTTCTTGTCACCAGGCCAACCCAACAAAAAACTGAAAATTCCATATTAAAGAAGGTAGAAAACAGTGGCCTACGCTTGGAGCACTGTTATGGTATAAAGTTTGTAATTTTTGTAGTTACTGTAATAAAATACCTTATTTACAAATAAAGATCAACATAGCTGAAATCAATTCCTGTTACTAAACTTGGGTTCCTTCTTGGGAATAGAATGTTCTTCTTGGCTCACCTTTTCTCCAGAAAAGGGAATTATGTAGAGCTCAGCAGTGCTTCAGATCCAAAGGGAAAAGTGTTTTGGAGCATCCACGGGCACTCATGTAGCATCTGTTGGCAACTTCTGAAACAAGCTCTGCTTTTTCACAAGATTGCAGGGTTGCCCTCCCCTGCTGCAGTGCAGTTCTGGAGAAAGACACGTTCAGTTTAAGAAGTTGTTGACAGACACTGTGTGAATCTCCACATATGTTCCAAAGCACCTTTTCCCTAGAGCTCACCCTATAAACCCATCATCTAGGGACCAGAAAGAGATTTCACAGTAACTCCAACTACCATTCTCCGGGAACTGTAGTTGTACCTGGAAGTGATAAAAGATAATTCCTATTTTCATTCACTTCAGGTAACATGGCATCAAGGTAAGATCAAAGAGAGCCTCTTTTTCTTTCAACTGTGGGGTAGGCAGCATCAGTCATTTGCATGGGCAGCACTCGCAGAGGAGTTTTTTTATCTTTCAAAGAGTACAGGGTCAGCTGTTTATATGGCCACTGGCAGAGAGTACGGAGATTTTCTGAAGTTGTCTGCAGTAGACATGCTTTCCTTTATTCCCTATTTTGCAGCACCATTTGAAACTAACTCATCATTTACCTAACTTTGATGACTACCAGTTAGGAGCATGGGTCTACATTGTGCAAAAACAGCCTGCCTCAATGCTTCTTTGAGCTCCACTGCAGACAGCCCAGAACATTTGCCTTGGAGAGGCATTTGCCGCTGTTTGTCTGAGCCAGGGTGCATACAGCTAAAGGAACATAAGCTCTCATACATTTTGTGATCCCTGTCTTGAATCCCTCTAAAAACTCCCACTGTGCAAGTCAGGAGTAAATCATCCCACAGTGGAAGGAGAAAACAGCTCTATCTCTGACTCTGCCAAGAGACCAACTATCTTTGAAACTCTCAGGTGCCCCCAGTAGGAGCCATTCATTTGGCTACTTGAATGACTTAAAACATGCAGGATTGGAACTGTCTTTTCTGAAAACTAAACTAATGAAAAATGAAGTAAAAGCATTTTAAGTATGCAATTAGTTTAGATTTTTTTCATAGCAGCACACTTCAAGTTCATCCCTGGGGAGGGAGTACTCCATGGAAGTTTCTGCTTCTAATGTGGAAAATAACATAGTTTCCCATATGAATATCATCCATGTTGTATTGCAATATCCCTGCTCCTATTTTTCTTAAATAATATTTTCCCCCCAAATGCTAACCATGTGTGTTGCAGAAATTACTAAGGATGCTTGTTGGTCCCAGACACTACTTCAGGGGAAAAAAAGAATCATTTGCAGCTACACAAGCTTAAATAGGTGGCAGCTAAGGGGAGACACGATAGCAGCCTTACACTAGGTGAAGGGGCACCACAGGGAAGAGAGACTAGATCTATTCTCCTGAACACCTGAGGGTAAGACAAGAACCAACAGGTGGAAGCTTTACAGTGAGAGATTCAAACTTGAACTAAGGAGGAATTTCCTGACTGTGAGGGCTGTTAAGCAGAGGAGCAGCCTGCCTCCTGAACTTGTAAGTGCTCCATCACCAGAAGTTTCCAAGAAAAGATTGGGCACTTGTCTGGGATGCTCTGAGGATTCCTGCACTGGGCAGGAGATAGACTAGAAGACCTCCAAGGTCCCTTCGAAGCCCATGATTTGGTTTTGAAACATATTTCATTGCCCAGAAATAAGAAAAGGATAACCCAAGGACAGCAGGAAACCTGGAAGAATAGCGAGGGTGATAGGTAGAGAAAGGGAATTGTTTTATGTGTAGGGTGGAACTTTATGAGAACCGTGACTAATTTTTGCTGAAACTTGGGTATGTAACATCCCAAGCGTAACATTTATTTATGTCTAAACATAAAGGTCAACATGTTTGAATACCATAAAAGTTCCAAAAGGAATACGACATTCAACCATTTTGTTTTCATGTTAGCATCTTACCAATGTGAGCACACTGCCTGGTTTCCTGCTTCACGTGCTTCAGTTTTTTTCCCCCAGCATATCTTTCTAATGTATAGGCTTGTTTTTCCATATGAAAAGCAATTATTTTAAGTCTTGAGCATCCTTCACCCGTAATAACTGAATCTAATAGGATTCAAGTAGAATAATTAGAAGAGGAAGATTTTCTGGTGCTGTTTAAAAAGCACCATATATAATTTATCAGACATAAAAGATGGTCCACACCACACAGTAAATACTTGAGCCAGACGCTATGTCATACCTGGCACTGAGAGGCATAAGGACACTGCAGATACAGTACTGAACAGGGAAGGAGTGACGGGACTGCAAGTGCTGTTTCCGGCTGCATTAGACGTGCTAAGCTTCTGGAATTTTGCAATTGTTGGAGGCCTGCTGAGCCTTTCAAAGGCATCGATCCCAATCCAACATCTCAGCAGAACATTATTTCTGCCAATGATGAGTTAGTCTCTTAGAGGTCTCTAGTAGTCAGAAAGAACTGTGAGACTAATCTGATGAATGGCATGAAAACACAATTCGTTATGTAGTTTTCACAGGAATATTCAGTGTGGCTGGATGGCTGGAAAGACAGACATTGAAGTTAAAGTAGTCCAAAGGTGCCTTCATGTGGAGAAATTATTTGTGATTGGCAAAAGCATACATTAATAGATTTAAAAAGAAAGAGGTCAGACATTAGAATGTATCTACAATGAGAAACGGACTTTATTCATATGCATTAAATTTGCAAGTTCCAAAGAAGATTCCTATAATCTTAAAATCTTCATTACAAAGAGCCATTTAACAGACATGGGCTCATAAGATGTAGCTGTTCAAGGAAAGGAGAAAATTTCAAAGACTGATTCCAGCATGTGTAACTTTTTTCTCCCTGATTGCAACTGCTACATGGTTTCTAAGAAATAAAAGTTAATGCTCTTCAGCAACTATACTTTGTATGTTACAGAAAGGGAAAGTCTTAGCTAAAAAGATCACATCAAATTTGTTTCCAGGCTGTCCCCTTGAGTCTCTATGACAGGATGGATCAATAAACAAACTGAATAAATGTCACTCAGATTGGTATTTTTTAAAAAACTGTTATTGGGTCAATATGTACATTTCAATAAAAAGAGCCAATATTTAGACCAGGACCTCACTGAGTAATGTAGCCATATTTTAAAAATTTGTATCAAAGGATGAAAGAATAAAGCTATGTATGTATTGCTGAATGTGCCTAAGAATTTAACAGTATACAACGTTATAGCTAAAGTGGTTGGTCACCATCTTTATGGGTTATGTTCTTTGTGCCTCAGTTGTCTCAATGGTGCTCAAGCAGCTGAAAACATAGCTATAATATTCTGCATGCTAGGACTCTTCAAGTAAGTTTTAGCAGTTCTTTAAATGAAACCACTAAGCTATGAATAACTGGTCTCTGGAAGAGACATGATCATGCTGAATGGCTGCGTCAGTTAATGCCAGCTCTTCTCTGCAAAGATCAGAACTCTTACCAGTGTGAAATCACACAAAGACATAGACTCATTTAACAGGAAGATGCCTCTTCTGATCAATGGTTTGGTAAGAAGGCTTCAAAGGAATGTACCCAGTTACCTCCACTGACTAGGCACAGGATGGCTGAATCCTATTCATCTTTATGCAGGACTAAATTGCACTGACCTCATTAGTGCTGAGTTCAAGTCTAACCATATCTTTTACTGAACAAGCCAGAGATGGTCCTTCCATTCAATAAGGCCGTAATCCTAAAATAATGTAAACATGTGAATTGAAAAACATTTTATATAAACAGAATCATTTGAAAAACATTGGAGGGAGAGGAGAAGCAGTCACACCATAACCATTTTTCAACTACTGTATGTGCTTTTTTAACAATATTGCAACATACGTAAGTAGATTTATGGGTAACCCTAACCCTAATTCTTTGACATAGCTTCATAATATTTTACAAGAATAGACCAAACTTTATGTATCATTTAATATTATATTATATAATATTATATAATATTAATATTATATGCATATATGTCATACACTTAAGTGATTTATATCAACATACTTAGTTTTGTTTGTTTGTCCCTTTATTTTTGTTTTGATAATATAATTTAACAATGTGATTATCTGCTGGATGGGGGTAAAATAGTGTTTTGATAATGTTTCCTGTTTTTTTTAATTGCAAGAAAAGAATTCCTTTTAGAAATGAGAAGGTCGCGTCATTAAAGCGTTGTTAAGCTCTTCCCCTGCTCAAAAGTTAAAGGCAGCCGAGGTATCTCGGGCATGACGTCACTCCTCGTTCCTACGCTGGCCCTCCAGCCGCAGCATCCACATTAACCTGCAAACGCGCCCCAGCCTTGCCCCCACGTCCCGCTCACGCGCCGCCCTTT